CTTAACTATTTCTCTACATTCTCACATCCCTTAAGTTAACAGGCTCCACAGGCTGATGTGCATGCCAACCCATAGCATCTGCAACTGCAACGTGGTGTTTTACATCCAGTAGTGCAATTGCAATGGATGATTTTTAAAAGTTGACAATGAAATTTACTGGCAGATAAAGTTAGAGGTAGTTGCTGAAGCGTCACTTTCGATACCCCCAACAACTTTCTTGCTTACATCTGAAGCTATCATGTGAATCAATGGATTCAGTCCCAAACAGGATAGCCATAGCCATTCTTACAAATTCCACAATTACATCACTGTTCTGATTTGGCTGACTAAATGCTTCAGCACATAATCTAAGAATCTAATCCCCCTCCACCAATTTCTGGAAAGCTGCCTACTTTACCGATGCCAAAAATGCAAGATGTTAAATCACAACCCGTAAAAGCACGTTGAATGGCAATGCAAGGCATAATTTATTTCCAAAGGCGGATTTTATGTGGGTTACATTTATTACCCGTACCCTAGTATACTTTGTCTTGTCCGACCTGAAGTAAACCTCTCGTTCGTCTGTATTGACATGATAGAGAAGAAGAACAAGTCTGTATCTTCTCCAATTAAAGTTACAGTATGATGATGGGAAATATCTGCTGCTGCTACACTATATACACGTCAGCATCGTTCCTTGCTTGTATTACAGGACAATTTCTTTTCTGAAGTTCAGCAGAGAGCATATTTATTAACTTCTGCTTGTTATCCTGATGATGACATAATTAATGTCGAAATATTGAATCCCGACACAATGGCGTGCATTTTGATACTTTGAGTATGTATTATACTATCTTATCTGCTTGTTATCATGCCTCGAAAGGAACTCATCCTTTTTGCCATCAAACTCGGTATTAGCCGTAAAGTTTACATCTGGGTGGATATTCTGTCCTGTTCTTTGATAGGTATTGTCTTTTATAGAAGGAGTCCCATCATAACTATCAAATACAACAGTTGCCAATCCATACTCTCTCCTGACGAACTCTGAGTATGCCTGTACAGTTGTGCCGTAACTGTCTCCTCTCTTCCATAATAAGTGATGTAAAAGGGAGCCTCCATCTAGAACATTCAGTTTCCGGTACAGTGTCGTAGATTGCTTTAATTGACAGCTTACTTGCATGATCTATAACAACTTGAACAAATTGTGGTTTGTTGGCCTTCCTAAAAATGTTTAGTCTCAAAAAGTGATGGTGGAAACGGACTAAAAAAGTTCATTACACATTACATCTTCTAATGTAAGATCTCCCGATTTGACACGACAAGGAATCTTTGGAATAAAAATGGCAGGGTCAATGGTTCTATCAGGAGCAACTTTAATGGCTTTTTCATCTCCAAGTGTTTTGGCTTTATCTTTTCTTTTGGCTTTACCTTTTCTTTTGCATCGTGAGTGGATTTCCCGCACGATTAAAAATCGTAACGGTATTGGGTTTGGTCTACAGGAGTTCGTGCTTCGAACAGGTCATTCCATTCATAGAAAAGGCCTTTTGATGGACCTTTTTAGCAAGGTTTACCTAGGTCGAAACTAACTCCGGCTGTATAAAATTGATTAGAAGATTGAAAAAGTTATTCTTGTTTATATGAATATATAAGGATTACTACTATGTCCATTTAAAATATGTAAATATGTATGAAAATGATATACTTATTTATATATTTATATAAATATTATGCGTAAATATATATTAGTATATTAAATTTAATTTAATGGAAAAACAGAAGAAGCATAGGAAGAAAGAAGTGAAAAGAAATTTGGAGCGGCTGAAATATTTACCGAAAATAAACAATAATAATCATTGTCATTATTGCATCACATTTTTTTTAAAATTTGTTGGAACTAATCATCAGAGGTCAAGGTGCCGGCAGCCTACATTGGACATCGATGTTGAATTATGAAAAGTGTAGGCCGTGGCACCGAGACCTCTGACAATTATTGCGGCCATTTTGCACGCCATTTTGAATTTATTTATATTGGTCATCACATTACAAATTTTCTCAAATGACTTACTGACCCATAAAGCCTGATATTGATGATAAAATCCGCAATTACAATACAGTTTGTAGCTGTTTTATGATCTTGGTGCCATTATGGCGGCCATCTTGAAAAAAACCACTTTCCGGTGATCGGATTTTGTAAGACTTTTTGTATGTTATTTAGCACATCTAATACTACCAAAATCCGTTGAAAAACCTTTTGTTGCAATTTTTTGGGGGTTATGCCCTTTTTTGAGCTATATCTACTCTACTACACCACCTTCGTTGCAATCTCTGCTAGAAGGACATACAAATTGTGGGCAATATACACTTCAAATTTTACTTTCCAAGATGATTGGAATTTCTGACACTAATCGAGGGGAGGTACTTTCAATCAAATCTAGGCCAGATTTGCCGAAACCCAGTTTGCTGTATATCAAATTACCAAATCAAAAATTGTGAATCTCAGTTTAATTTAGTTCTGGCAAAAGTGAATTTAAAAGCAATATCAAAATTAACAGCTAAAAATTCACATTGGAACACTCTCTTACTCGCATCTCATTCATTAATATGTTAGTCAAGCTACCTAGACCTTTAATATTCACTTCTCTAGTCTATACAACAAGCCCAAGGATTGTCCTCCAACCAGATCCCACCTAAATTTCAAAAAGCTCTATAATCTACCCTTATCCATATTTCCCAACCCATTCTCTTTTTATCCCTTTCTTAATAGCACGTCTGTTTTCATCCTACCTGACCTTTTAATCCCGCATCCCATGCATGTGATCTTGTACTTTTTTACATGCTTTATTTAGTGTATACAGGAGCGCAGTACTAAATTAGTTAACAATGACCTCATCTCTAATTCTTTTGCCAGCTGGATCTTCATTACTTTATACTCTAGTCCCCCCACCACTCAAATTTTGCAGCCTATCCCCATGTCAAATATCCTAGATACATCACTGACCAAAGCACAGTAGGCTGTTCTACTCAGTTTTAGTATACTTTAATTAGTCAAACTCGGCAAACTGGTTTATCATAATTTTTGGTCAGTAAACTAGAATTTCGCAAACTGGGTTTTAGCAAAGTAGACTTAGCAATCTGGGATTAGGCAAATTGGGTTTTAGGCAAACTGGTCGAATACTGTATGTCTCAATCTTCCTTGCACCTATCTATAAAAAGTGTTGAATTTTAAATTTTTTTTTCGTTCTTGTTATGGGTTGAAATGAGACAATGTTGCTATTAGTTTTGATCCAAATGATGATTTTTATATATATATATATGAAGGCACCACCATCGACAGAGGGATCATTAATTTTAGTTGTAATAATTTAAATATCTAATAATCATTTTACCAACGACGATGTGGATAGGTCTTTTCTTACATAGCATGCCAGGCATGAGTGGTCAGTAATAGGAGTAGTCGCTATAGTAGTTGTCACTATTTATTAAGCAATTATTGTAATGTTTTGAGGGTGCTATTGAAAAAAACCCAAAGTCAATCATAATATTTTATCTATATCCAGGATAGCCTCTGCTACATTTGTTCAATGCTGTAGCAAGGGCAAAGGTGAGGCTAGCCTAGGCCTAATTTCTTGTCTAAATATGCCTCAAATAATGTACTATGTGTTCTGGGCATCTACACAGTCAATTTAATACTTTTAAGACCTGTTATGAGGATTGTACGTTGTTGTTTATTATCATTATTATCATTATTATTATTATTATTATTATTATTTTATTTTTATTATTATTTTTATTATTATTATTATTATTATGTTGTGATGATGTTGTTTGTACTGTTTTTTAATGTTATTAAAGAGGGCCCCTGAATATCAGTTAACCTACTGGGCTAAACTGGAAGGGTTACCCTCTTTAAAGATGGTTGAAATAAAAAATAAAATAAAATAAAAAAACAAAAATTAATATAATCACCCTCAGTTAAGTGATAAATTTTGCTCATCTTTTATGAGCCAATCTGTAATAAACACAATTAGCATTTGTAAACAACAGACCTAGTGTTATATATTAGGCATACCTTATCATACAGACTATCTCCTAGTATACCTAGCAATGGCCACTGTCTTGGTTGACAACGTTATATGTTTGGTAGCAACGATCACTGACGGGATTGTCTCCGAACAGTGAGTTGTAATTAAAAATATTTCTACTCGAGTAGAGAAAATTAGGTTGAGGTAAAATAGGATTGACATAGTAAACATTGGTCGCTATGATGTCACTTTTGTTTGATAAATGTCGTATTTGGTTTTGTGCCTCAGTGCTCTTAATATTAGGTGCTATAGAAGCTCAGATACTAATATGTTACTAAGGGTATGTTCACAAACACGGCGTAAGGCTGGCGTAAGCCTGGCGTAGTGTACACCTTTGTTTGTGAACTAGGCAGTGGCGTTACTTACGCCACTCACTTATTAACGCTACCTGCAGACCCCAGATTAGCTAACGCCACAGAGCTAACTCCAGTGATGCTTGAATGATTTGACTTCATTTCAAGAGATTGACCAATCACGATTGCAATAGATTAATTACTTTGATCTCTTTCCTGTGCTCTCTAAAAATGAAATGGTAAATTGTTTCTTTTTCTATTGCATTTTACTTAGTTATAATGCATATGATTTGTTGATTGTGTTTTGTAAGATATTTAACCTATTTAGACTGTCTATTAAAACCTGAACACCAATAATTGTTCCACAATGCTAACTGAAGAATCAGAAGTAAAAATGTTAATTTAAAATACAATAATCATATAAGTTCACTTCGAACAATTCAGATTTAAAAGTTTTAATGATGCACTGTGACATTATTTAAAACTGAAAACTCTTCCCCCATAGGCCTATTACTACTAGTTTAACGCCAGCGTTAATATAGCGAACGCCGTTCGTGTGAACACTTTGGAATTTTAATCCATGGATTAGCTTACGCCGGCGTAAAATACGTAGCCACAAAATATACAAAATTGAAGGTTAACTTACTGTGTGGTTAGGATGGCACTGCCTCTGTCTAAATAACATCTTGATTTCCTCGATGACATACAAAGCATTAGTTATATGGCTAACCACATTATCTCTTGTCTTTCTACTCCTACAGAAAAAAAATTCAATTTTTTTGCATTTTGAAAAACAATTTTCATTGTCAATTGAAAATAATTGAGAAAAATATTATTGTATCTATTACCTATACTTTGAGTATGTCAAATATGTAATTTGGATTTTTAAAAAACAATATTTATTTTGTCTACACCATCAGTCATTGCACTTCAATTTCACCTTAATTATAACATGTACATTACATGAATGAGCTATAATTAGAATTTATAAAGGAAGTCATACTACTGTCACTTTCGGTTCATTCAATTATTTATCTTGTAATTGTATTTCTCCATACTTGAATATAGTACTAGCTATTGTTTATCAGTGTCTTTAAGGACAATGAGTTGTGTATATGTATTGGAGTACAACTGTAGTTTGGTGGTTAAGATGCTTGCCTTCTGAACCAATAATCCTGGGTTGAAACCATGTGACTCATGTGAGACAGCACAGGAGTGGCAACACTGGGAGGGCCGGGTTTCAGGGCTTTCTTTCAGGGAGAGCTGGGTTTCAGGGCTTTCTGTTAGGGAAAACTGGCCACTTGTTGGAAGGGGAGAGGGGGGGAAGGAAATTTGTAGAAGAGAAAAACAATTATATATCTTTTACATTAGACTCTAATATCAATTAAGCCTTTGAAACCCTTAATTGTCATATTTTCTGGGGAGACCCCTGGACAACTCCAACAAAATTTGAGTGACACACAACCTTTCGCACTTATGCCATAATTGGGGCCATTGGACCCACGTTGAGCAAATCCTGATGCCAACCCTGACGGAAAGCAACATTTTTCTTACAATTACAAAATATCTTCACATTCTAAACTTCATAACGAGCCTTATGAAAATTATCACACTTTAAAATTAATTTCATATGCTGACATTCAAGATGGTGGAAAGGAGGTCGGATTATAAATATGTTTCAAATTAAACATAAAATTTGTGTAGGCCTACTTGCAATTCTAATATTTAAATTTTAATCTATTTTGTGTACAATTGTGCAAAGCAATGTTAAATTTATATAATTACTATCTTGATAACCATCAAAACCAAAGTATTTTGAATAAAACTTCATTCTTTGGCAAACTTCCTTTTATAACTTCAGGGTTTTCATTATGACTGCCTATAAATTCCAATGTCGTTTATGCTATGACCTTGGTCTTGGTGAATTTTTCAACCAAATAAATTCAGTTCAATTATGCATACATTACCAGTATTTACTTTTTTTATGATACTATTTCTTTACATATACCCTTACAATTGTATACATTTATGCCTTCTAAACGCATCAAGAATTTCTTCCTTAGTGTTCAATATTAGGTATAGTTATTATTTATCAAAGGAAATAATTATTCCTTCAGGGAGATCAATTAAAGATGTGTGCATCTGCCAAATTTACTTGCGATTTGTTTATAAACGATTCCAACACATTTGAGAATTCCGCAGCACACTAAATGCCATTCAGGTGCAGGTAAACATTTAAATATTCAAATTAAATTATACATGTACCACGTGAAATAAAGTCTTGAAAAACTTCAAATTTATTCAATTAAATCATTTATTCATTCATTTAAAAGGTTAAACTAATAAAGCTTCACTACTAAAAAGACTTAAACAGACTGATTATCAGCCAATTTATGAGCCCATGCAAAGAAAACAAAAACAGTGCTACTGTACTGTATTTATAAGGTTTTTTTTTTTATTTTCATTTGTATTTTTAATTAAAAAAGTTATATAAGTTTCTTTTAGGTTATCCCATATAATGTACCTATAAATACTTATGTATTAATTATATTTTATTGTTAAATTTATCCTATCCTTAGTTTAAAAAAGAAATTTCAGGAAGTTTATTTCTGGTAAAAGAAAACAATACTTTTATCTAAAAAGATGACTCAGGAATATATCAAGGTAGTACAGTACTGTCATTAGCTGGACTACCATACTTGACTGGCAGATAATTAATTACAGACAATCAATCCATTAGCGAATGACATGCACCAGTGAAATGCTACACAAGGACTCCATGAAACCATGAGACATCATAACTCATACCAGGGGCTCAAAGACACTAAATAAATATGTAAAGGCATGATATGGCATGCATAATAATTATAAGTATATGCATGAATGGTTCAGAAAATATATACTGTAGGACAACACACTCAGTCTGTTAGCAACATAATTTGTAATTTTGTCCTAATGGGTAGTAGTAGAGGGGGACCATGCACCTATCTCTCCTTTGCATACCTTGGATCCACCACTGTTGGTGGCATGAAGTGCTTGCTAATTGGTGCATTAAAATTCATACAACTGATACAAACACATACACAAGAACATGCAATTTTATGTGACAAAGATGAAAAATTTGAAAGTGAGAACCAGTGTCATGTATGCCACAATGCAATTAACAACATTCCTTATTGCCACAATAATATTAATGGAAGACTTATTATTTGCTGAAGATAGCAATTGATGTACTATTTTTAGTAATATATGAATGTTATAGATGAAATTCTCATGGTTTCAAATGCACAGATACACAATATAATTCAAATCGTAAAGTTGGACAATGCAAATTCATAAAAACATTAATACTTTGAGGACTTGAAAAAAACTGCTGCAGCTTTCTTGACAACAAGTGCATTGGCAATCGTTTGGCAAACTTGATTTCGCAGATGACGGGCCCTAGAAGGGATTGATTCAAAATGTTATAATTTTACAGCAATATATTTTACAAATACAGAAAGGAAAAAACAAGAAGGGAATGTGTCTGGCCTGCAGGTTCTCATTGAGATAGGCTGCCAGTTAAACATTCTCAATAAATCTTATATAGTCAAACAATGCCATCCTACTTTTGTATTGTACTTGACATGAAAATTGAGATTACAAATGTAAATAAATACCTCCAAAAAAAATAAATTAAATTAATGAAGTTAAAACATTTTATCATGCATGAATGTTAATGATTCAGAAAAACAGACACTGATCTACAGATTTCAACCACAATGACATAACCAAACAAAAAGAACTTTACATGACTCAACCCAAAATCTTTCTCATTCATAGTCCATTATTTTGTGTTCTTCTTTGATTTTCTTCCTTAATATATATATATGATTGCAAGAAAAGAAAAAGATGGCCTACGTAAAAATTATAATTTATACAAAAATTATAATAAACAATGAACAATCGAGGTAATTTATGTCTATTACACAATTTAACTTATTGGTCCAGGTAAACAAAAATAATATTTTATGTCATTTTCATGGTATAGTATCATGAAAATCAATGCACCTGTGCATTTTCAATTAAGGTAAATAAATTATAATGTATCGTTATAGAGTATTGAATATTAAGTGTTATTAAAAATATTAAAAATATGTAGTATATGTTAGTAAATTGTAATAACTATGTCATTTGATATGTAGAAAGAAAAATATCTTTTATTGCCATGATAATGTATGGCAAAGGTCCTATCTTTAATTTTACTGATTATTTTGCATTTGAAACATATAAAGAGTCTTCAGTTTCCTACTCTTTGACATTTGCCAGTTCGTACAAAGCTCTGATTCACAATTTCCTGCAACATATAATTCAGTTAACCGTCTATTTCATCTTACACACTGTACAATAAAACTTTGTTTTTTTAGATATGTTGTAAAACTTTACTTGTGTATTTTTCATCTTGTAACATGTTTTGTGTTTGTATGTGATGCCGAGCCTACAGCAATGTTGAAACCGCAACATGAACTAATTCCAAGCTTTAGAAAAAAAAACAAACAAACAAATGGAAGAAAAATGTAGGGTCTACCTTATAATACTCCTTAGAAACAAAGTTAAAAAAGAATTAGAAATAAAAAATAAAAATAAAATTAATCTTGTGTCATAAATATATGATTTAAAAAATTAAACTTTATGACCTTACTCTACTAATTAAAATTTAATTATCCATTTTCCTTTTGTCAATAATTATTCATAAAAAAATGTAAATAATAATATCAATATCATAGTAGACAAAACAGAGTAACATTGTACAAAATAGTTGCTTCACAGTACATTAGTTTAAATTTTGTATCAACTACCTTTTTATCATTGCTATGCCTTTGGAAATGGTGCTATAAATGTGATATACTAATACAGTACCCTATAAAGGGGACACATTTGGGACAACAAAAATGTGTTCCCTTAATAGGGATGTCCCCTGAATAGTGACAGCACTATTTAGGGGACAATAACGAAGTGGAAAGCTAGTTCACTGCTGACATTAATTTTTTATAATTTTTTTTTATTGACCTAAGGAAGAGTTACAATATAAACAAACTAAATTGTAACAATAATAATACTAATACAATTAAATTGTAATAATACTAATACAATACATTTATGGTGAAATCAAAATAAAATATAATTAAAACAACAAAAGCAAGACTTAAATGTTATTAATTTATGACAGATAGAGCAGTATGAATACAGTAGAGTCATGACTTAGCAATTGGGGTGCAGGTACGGAATGGACTTGAATCCTATGTGAAAGTACATACAAAGAAGAAGAAAAAATGAATTTTATGATTAAGGACTAAAATTGACAAGATTACTTTATATGAAGTAACACACACAGTGTGCATACTGGTGTTAATTTAAAGATCAAGACAAATTAATCAATTTATGCTTCAAAATAATAATTTGAATGAAATATTATTTTAAATCTATTTAAATGTTGTGTTATTGATAAGATAAAAAATGTCCCATTTATAAGGTGGAAAATGTACTGATTTGACTATTTGTTGGCTCACTCAAAAAGTATTCCCGTCCCCTTAATACAGTTGCCATTTAATAGGGTTTGGCCATAATGTTAAAAGATGTATTTCCTCTTGTACTATGGAAAAGTCTCTCCTTCTACTGTTCTACTGTACTATTATTATTTTCTACTGTACTATTATTATTTTCTACTGTATTATTATTATTATAAGTTGTTTATGTACTTTTCCCAACCCTCAGTTGCACCTGTCATTTCCTCTTCCCTTGTCACAGTCTCTTCATTTTCATGCGCCAGCTTTTTTCTTTCTATTTTTAGGTAAAGCATGAGACTGTGATTATACATTTCGACAATGCCTGAGGAAATTTAATTATATTGTGACCTGATCGTTGACCTTTGATTGTTCATGTTATACGTAACATACTGTTTAAACCTGTTTCTAAGAATTTCTTTCAGACAATCTTTATATTGATAATAACATAAATTTATGAGAAAAATGAAGTTTTCTGATTCTAACATACAATCTCTGCAAATACTAGTATGATAATAAAAATAAATAATAACAACAACCACCATTAAAAAAAATAATAATATTTTTTTTTAAATACTAGGAATAATAAAAATATTGTAGTACTGTAATACTTTGATAAAAATTGTTACTATACAAAAAATATCTAACATTAAAAAAAAAATTATTATGTAAAAATATTACGATTATCATATTATTTAGAAACTGATACTTGACTCTGTTGTTTCATGATTCCTGATCAGATGCCTTAAGCACTTTTCAAATTTTAATTTTTATTATTATTATTATGAAAAGGCAATATCTAAAAATAATACAATAGCAATAGAAATACCAACAGTATACTTAAACAATAATAATTAAAGAAAGTACTTGACTAAACTTGTACAGAATTTATTCAGATCTAGCTTTCATTCACACAGTGGAATTCATCAGGAGAATGTGTCTCCACTGTGTGGACGAAAGCCAGAGAATAAATTTTATACAACTTAGTCTTAAAAGTACTGTTGTAATTTTGTATATTGTTTTTTAGCAGGTCAACACGGCTACAATTTATATTCATCACAATAATATTAAATTATAATACAATAATACAATAACAATAATACTATAATATTCACAACAAAACAAAAAACAAGTAGTAGTAGCTGTAGTGGTAGCAGACTATCATAGTAGTAGCAGCAGGAGCAGAATTGTAGCATCAGAGTACTGCATGGTAGCGCCATCAACAGTGGCAGTAGTAACCTAATAATAATAATTCTAGATTTATATACATGTATAGCACCTCACTTTGTCACAAACTTGAGGCGCTTAACAACAGGTAACAATAGGTAGAGTACTGGGAAAGCAAAGTTATCATTAGATATTAGCCATGTAGGTTTTGAGAAAACAGCTTCCAAAGATTCCAAAATCAATAGTTTATAATTAAAAATTATTTTAGATACATTCATTCATTCTTTATTTAGCCAATAAAATAACATACAATACAATGAAAAGAAATTTAACAAAAACTAAGACAATATATAACCTCCTAAGTTGGCTAGGATTAACTATAGTGTGAAAAACACTCTGGCTCTCAGGCCTGTTAGTCCGGTCTTAGGATTTTTTAACATAGATATATACAATGATTAAATTAAACAATAATGTAAGTAAAATAAATTGAAAAGCAAAGCATATTACATAAAATAATATTAATAGAGTGATACGAAAGGTGACATGAAAATAAACAAAATACAAATTAAAGTAAATCAAAACTTCATTTTAAAAAGGCAAGGCAGTTTAGAGGGATGTATATTATTCAATGCTAAATAATTACCATTACAGAACAATTTGAAAATTAGAGAATGAGAAACAAAAAAAAACAAGAAACAAAAATACAATACAATACAATTTTAATATCCTTTTCATTCAGATTTAGTGATTGATATTTTGCAGAAATGTTCTTCAATATATTTTCTTTTATGAAATGCAAAAACATGAAAATGTTCAAAATTATGATTCTCAAATGTTTGGGTAGCTGTGGGAAATTACTGTATAAGTTGTGACAAACAGAGGGTTTTGCCAGAGGCGGTCACATATATTCTAATTTTCATTATCTCCTACTCTCCATGCCAATTTATGTCTGTTAAGGCAGAACAGCTTTTCCTGTTACTATATAGGTATACGGACATAAACCACCCAGGACATAAACCACCCAGGACATAAACCACCCAATTGGAATATACCATCGTTAAAGTGGGTGGGTAACAGGGTGAACAATGTTGGGTGGTCTCCATTACAGAACAATTTGAAAATTAGAGAATGAGAAACAAAAAAAACAAGAAACAAAAATACAATACAATACAATTTTAATATCCTTTTCATTCAGATTTAGTGATTGATATTTTGCAGAAATGTTCTTCAATATATTTTCTTTTATGAAATGCAAAAACATGAAAATGTTCAAAATTATGATTCTCAAATGTTTGGGTAGCTGTGGGAAATTATAAGTTGTGACAAACAGAGGGTTTTGCCAGAGGCGGTCACATATATTCTAATTTTCATTATCTCCTACTCTCCATGCCAATTTATGTCTGTTAAGGCAGAACAGCTTTTCCTGTTACTATATACTGTACATACTTGCATTCGTTCCTACTGTGCAATCAACAGGAAGGTTATTATTACAGTAAACCACATAAACATTTTTCACTTTCATGCTCAGTACTCAGCAATTTATCTTGTTTATTGATAGTTGTCTTTACACTCAAAACGGAACTCATAAACAGAAAACAAATGACAAAGCCTATACAATTGCTCCACTATGCAAATAGAATAATGTGAAAAATGAAGTGTAAGAATACCCAAAAAAATTTTGTCCATTTTTAACATACATTTACAGTATACATGTATACTGTACATGGCAGTGGCAGATCCAGGATTTCAAAATAGAGGGGGACCGAGGAGGAACTTTCACAGATAGAGGGCTGACCCACTCAGCCAAGGTTAGGGTTGAGGTAAGAAAAATTATAATTATGGAACAAACGATGGGCGGAAATTGAAAACCATTTTATTTTACTCTCCGTATTTCTTTATAATTTGAAAAATTTAGGGGAGGGGCCAGGCCGGCTGGCTCCCCGGCTGGCTAGCTCCCCTCCCTCCTCCCCCGAATTCACCACTTGTGTCAGAAAGAACCTTGCAGAAGAAGAAAACATTTCTCCCTTCCTCAGCCAGTTATCTTATTAGGTTAATAAATCCAAGATTAAGATAACATATTACAACAATCCTCACTTTCCCACCCATCCCTACCAAAATATATTCACAATATTTCTACTGTGTTTTGAGTGTTTCTACTGTAATTCCAACAATTAGGTAGCTTACCGTGCCAAGTTAGATATAGAGGAGGGCCCATCACGAACTTTCTTCTTTGCATCATCAACTTTCTTTTGGCAAAGTTCCAACTAAAGACAGAAAAGAAACACTTTCATTAGAGTTTCAGAACTCAATTTATAGTAATTCTATATAATTCCATTTCCTTTTATTTGATTATTGCCAATAAATACCCCACACTAGTGGATAAATTGAACAAGAAAAGAATTGAAACACAAAAATAAAAATTAACAGATAATTAAACAGAAAATCTAAACTTAAATATATATAAACAACAGAAGCAATTTAATTTTGGTCAAGGCAAGAGAACAGATCTGGGTGGTCAAAGAAAACTTAATTATTATTATTATCAAATTTTGATCAAATTAAAAAAATAATAAATAAATTGAAGGTCTTTCAATTCTATTTTAGTTTGGTTTGGAAATTTGTTCCATCAAATCTGCCAACCGATTTTCGATTAGACTAATCATTTTTTAACCTCTATTTTAATTTTAACATTGTATAATTATTTTTTTGTAAAAAAACAAGTATTTATTCATTTTATAATTCATGAGACATGTATTTTTCAAAATATTCTTTTAGCAGAATGTGATAAAGGCCATATGAGAAACCAGGAATGAAAATTTACCCCATTTCAGGAAGAAATGGGATCAGTGAAAACTAAATGTAGAGATTAAAAAAAATTTTTGTTAATATACTAGACGTAGAAAAATATTTAAAAAAATGATATTTTACTCTAGGTCTTTAGTAGCAAGTAAGTAAAATATATATGGGTTTATTCCAATGAGTGCTTTATAACTAAAGAAGTCCCATATACACAAAGCAATTCAAACAGAGAATAGTGAAAATTGCATGAACACTTTTTAGGTTAATAATAAGCCAAAATATATAGTCAAGCCTGCTAATTGTTATTTATGTTCAACTCAGGACTATGGAGTGGTAAAAAATGGTCATAATTTGTATTGTAATTGAAGACCATATATCACATACAGTAGGCCTGTTTTCTAATAGATTAAATATGGCACAGCACTACATTTATATAAGGCACTTCATTAAAGTGCAACAATACTTGATTTGATTACCATATAACTTGAAACTATAAGAAAAAACATAAGCCCAGAAAAAAAATATGTTTTTTTTTTATTATTTTGGAAATTGACATGTTACATTCATGACCTATGATTCAGGTAATGCTAAATGTATGTTTAACTCATCTTAACCTAGATTTCAAACGAGCATGGAGCCTGGATTATGATGAGTTTCCTCTTCATCTGTTACTATTGTCAAAAAATTGTGATTTGGAGGGCCAACAACATTGCATCTTAGTTCAAGTCGAAAACAATGGCTGGATGATGCAGTTTGTGCATGCATCACTATTAAATGTTACCTAGTGTGTAACAGCAATATACTTTGATATAAATATGTTTTAGAAGATAATTTCTAATTCAAATTACAATACATGTAATTACATTTAAACCATTTATTTTATCAATCAAGATTTATTTTTACTATCAGAGAGGCTTTGAAGATGCACTATATGTCATGAGAGAAAGATATTGAAAATTAAATTCTATATTTGTATTGTTTAAACTTATAATGAAAACATTTGAACAGATACTGTTTCTGCATTATTTTACAAGATTGGCTTGTAACAATCCAAGGAATTTTTACTTTCTGTAAATCAGAGAAAACAATTATTTTTTTCAATCAGTATTTGGTTGGCAAATAATAAGTTATATTATTTGATCCAGATTTTTTTTAATGTTTTTAATTGAAATGTTGTTATTTTCCCAATGACATTGGCAAAGAGTACATCTTTTGAACTTCATTATTGACTTGATAAAACCAAGTCTTCTCAGATATAAGAACACAGATCTGAAGGCCTAATCTACGGCGCATGGAACTTTTACAGACACAGAGCATATCTTTCAGAAAAGAAGAGGGTTACCCTGGTGCTCTGATTCATTCCTTCTGTCATTGTGGAAGCATGACTGGACACCAACACACAGCTGCTATAGAGTCACACAAAAAATGGATACAGCTAATTTAGCACAATGTGAGAAACAAGTTAACTCCTACATTCACCTTATGGAATCCTATTGTTTACAGTACATGAATATTATTATTAACACAATAAAAAAGTCATCAACAGGTGCGAGAAAAAGGCCTTATGGCATTAGGCTGTGGTGTGTACAATGCATACCAAAGAATTATTGTCACCTGTCCATTTCACATACATTGGTTTGTGCACTAGTAATTTTCCTATTTTGCACTAACACTGTAACAAAATCAATATGGACAACCATCACAATGAACATGAGTATATTACCTCCACATAGGCATTTTGTATATCTGATGTTAAGTCATCGTAAATTTGTTGAAGAAAGTCCACATTGCTTGAATGTATAGCTTCTTCCTGTGAATAACAAATAGAATACAGGAATATTATGTAAACTTCAATGGCATGGCCAAATGAAGTGATCAATAATATAAACAACAGCAAAAAAAACATACATGCATCTTTATTCGGAGACTAGGAGACATTTAATCTATGTTATTTAAAGAATATAATTATATCAATAATAAAACAAAAAATATTTTATTATATAATGAATATTGAAGATTCCTTCTCTATTTTACAAACAATTCGTGGAAAAACAGGGAAAAATTTAAGTCAACTTTGAATCCAGCGAGCATTCATTAACCAATGCTGAGTCAGTGTTGCACTTTTTATGTGGCAGTGTGTAAGTGCAAAAAAAATGACCACCAATTACTGTGATCATATCTACCAGCTGCTTATTATATTAATATTTATATTTTAGTGGCTCAAGTAGTAAAATGGAGGGGGAAAAACAGTGAGTTCCACATGTGTGCGGTAGCTCTTGGAAAAAATGTATACACTAGAATTATGTGATCAAGTTAATGATGTTATCTTTTGAAATTTATACGCAAAGGAACTGTAAATACAAGATGGGCTGAATATGAGAATTGAAAACAATAGCAACGAGCAATAATGAATTGGGGGACAGCAGAAACTTCCTCAATTTTAAGTGAAAATAACAGAGAGAAGTTGGTATGAAAAATTGCAAATGGGATAATGAGAGTACTGTAATTCTAACCACTGACAACCTCTGAAATGCTAGCAACTGATTGGTTGTTTATAGAAATGAGGTCAATTTAATTATTGCCTATAATAAGAAAAAGAAATATGTTTATTGTATATTTATATATGGAATGCATCATTTTATGAAATGATTATGACTGGCTGTTTTTAGGAACTATTTAAATTGCATTTGAAAGGTCTAAGCCAGATGTTGTGGGGCAAGGTTGTGGATATGTCAATAAAACTGTAATACTGTACATTCTACAACTTATAGTGTACTACAGCTGGCTACAACAGATGGACAACAATGCTATTCAGTGTGGTGTACTGTGGTGTAATACTAGGGATGTTCATGGCTTTTATGCAAAGTCATAGAGCTGTTAAAACAAAATAAGGAAAGTAGTGGTTAACTTATTTCTTTTATTTTTTGATGCACCAATCACCTATCAGGCACTACACTTTTTTTTTTTTTTATAAGAACCAGTAAAATTTTGCCAGGCTCATTGTTCTTATTTTTTGACAGATTTCAGGCTCAAAATGTTCTTATTTTGTTCTTATTTTACACACTTTTCAAACATAGAAAATTATTATTGTACAGCAGTATACACTGTACTGGGAGGTGAAAGCGGCCCCCACAAAAAATGGCCCCTGAATGAAAGGCCCCTGAATGAAAGGCCCATAAAAAATTGCCCCGCATAAAAAATGGCCCCAAATGGGAGGTAGGTACACCTACTGTACTGTATTATAGAGGGTATTGCATAGTCACACCTACTGCACATAAGGTACAGATATAATTTGTTGGTTTTTCTAGTTTGACATTCTACCTCAGCCTCAATTTGTTCTTATTTTGTTCTTAATTTTTAAGCAATTTCAGCCTCAGTGTTCTTATAAAATGTGTTCTTATAAAAAAAAAAAAGTGTAAAAGATTGTCTAAGAAAAACGGAAAAAGGGGTATCCCCTGGTCTTGATGATTTCACAAATAAATGTTTTAAATACTTCTTTATGGATATAGGTCATTTCTTCCACAGATCAGTTTAATACTCTTTCTCATTAGGTAAACTTTCGATTACACAATGGCATGGTCTCATTACATTACTCCCTAAAGGGGATAAAGATAGGACTCTCCTAAATAATTGGCGACCTATACCTCTTTTGAACACATCGTACAAATTGATTTCATCCTGCATTGCTGAACCTTTAAAAAAAGGTCTTCCTTATCTAATACACGAACACCAAAAAAGGATTTATATCGGAAAGATTTATTGGAGAAAATATACGAACAACATACGATTTAATGAATGCAGCCAAAAACGACAACATTCCAGGTATACTTCTGGCAATTGATTTTGAGAAAGGCTTTAACTCTGTGTCGCATACCTTTATTGGAAAAGTTCTTAAACAATTTAATTTTGGAAATTAAATGGGTTAAAATCTTATACGAAGATGCACAGGCGTTGGTTATAGTTAATGGATTTATATCAGGGTGTAGACAATAGAGGGTGTAGACAAGGGGATGAACTCAGCCCTTATCTGTTTTTGTTATGTGCGGAAGTACTGGGGATGTTAGTGAGAACAAAACAGGATATCAAAGGAGTCAAAGTGGGAGGAAAAGAATTCCGCCTTTCACAATATGCGGATGATACAGTTATCTTTCTGAATGGTACAGAAGAATCAGAGAGAAGCACATTTAATATTTTAAACTTATTTGCAGATTCATCTGGTTTAAAGATTAACATAAATAAAACAAGTGCAATGTGGTTTGGGGCCTGTCGAAAAAGAGACACCATAATATGTAAAGGCATAAAGATAAATTGGCTAAAACCATCTGAAACTGTAAAAATTATTGGGATTGAGTTCTCTAATGAACTAAACAATATGCTGGTGCTAAACTATGATAAAGTACTTGATTCAATTATAAAGCTATTATTTTATTGGTCTAGAAGAAATATTACAGTTTTAGGTAAAATTACTGTTGTAAAATCACTTATTATTTCTAAAATTGTATACTTGAATACGGTATTGCCAGATCTGTCTACTGAATACATGAAAGTGTTAAATAAATTAATATACGACTTTATTTGGAATGGTGTGGACCGTGTCTCAAGAAATCAGATAAGCAGGAATATCGAGGCAGGTGGCTTGAAAATGCTTAATATTCAGGCTCACTTTCAAGCTTCAAAAAATCACCTGGTTAAGAAGAATGATTAAAAACAAAAATTCGGAATGGGTACACCTTTTTCGATATACAACATATATTAATAATTTATCAATTCTTGATGGAGGATAAAATAGTTTAAAGAACCATAATAATCGGTCAAGAACACCGAATAAATTCTGGAATGATGTCCTTGTCGCATGGTCCACTTTTACTAAAGTTCATGAAATAAAGAACCAGTTTGATGCCCGTAGATGCAGTATATGGTTTAACGATAATATAAGAATTGATGGCAAAAGTATATTCTACAAAACCTGGTCTGAAAAAGGCATCTTTTTAATTGATGATCTAATAGATGAAACTGGATCATTTTACCCTTTGCATGAGTTCATAGAAAAATATCAGATAAATATTGATTTCATAACGTTTTATGGTTTAATTGAATCAATAACGAAACATCATTACTTTATTTTTAAAACAACACATGTGGATAAAACTAAGGATATGCCTTTTAATTTAGATGTTGTTATTAAAGATGTGAGGGTGGCTGGTAGAATATACGATATACTATTTGAAAATAAAAGGGTAAACGAAAAGTATAAAGAACCAGAACCCTGTGGGTGCGTACGTTCCTTTGAACGTAAAAAATCAATGTACATTTGTGAATTGCAATAACTTGATTGTATCTTTTTGAATAATGATTGTGTAAGGTAATACAGTATTTTCATTTTGAGTTTAAAAACATCAGAGGCGGATCCAGAAATTTATGAAAGGGGGAGGGGGTAAGGGGTTCTGAGAAGTCAGGGATGTCGTTATGCAGGGCGGAGATGGGCGGCGCCGCCCACTCTTGACGGCTTGCACCCATCCTAAAGCTATTTTTAAGGCCTTCTGCCCAGCCTCATACAAATTCTCCCACCCCCCCCTTTAAAATCATGAAGAAACACAAGTTTTTGCTCCATAAACCGTATTTTCCGGTGAATAAGCCGCAAATTTGATAAGCAATTTTCCCCTCGAAGTTTGGGGTGCAGCCTATATAATACACCAGTCGTTAACCTACTCCCAAAAAGTTCAGATCGCGAACCGCAGCAAAAATCAGGCGCCGTCTGTCTAGCTTGGGCCCATGCTCCTAACCCAATTAATTAGCCTAGCCTTTGTTGAAGGGCTAATATTTGTAATTATACTCACTATACAGTGCTGTAATGTGATTCCTACTACATTTTCAAGCAATGGTTTGGGTTGTTTAATTAATTATTTTCATAGTTACTTTCACTCAAACAATTTTGAAACACGTTTTATACAAAATCGCTTCGCTCAAAACAATAAATAACCTTCTTTTCGGGAGTGTGGTCCTAGAGGTCACGTGAGCAGCTTCATTTATGATGTCGCAACAAAACTCACGTGGGCTGTTGAAACTTTCTGTTCGACGTCTGGTTCCCGGTGGCTTGTACCGTTATAGAAAGAATACTGATACCGTTATATTTCAGAATAAAAGCTTGTGAAATTAATTTATGCAATAAAAACATGAATTTTCTTGAAGTTGTATTAATTATTTTACTGGAAATTAATTAAAGAAAGGCATACGTTCGTCCGTCTATCACATGCCTCATTCACATGCTGTATATGTGTAGGCCTATAGATGGTCAGTCCATCACATGCTGTAAATTTATGTGTCCATAATTTTAAGGTTCTCTCCCACCCGAGACAGTCCATCAGGTGCTGTATTTTCGAACCATTATTTTCCCAAACATCATTTGATGAAGCTATGCTGTAAATTTATGTGTCCATAATTTTAAGGTTCTCCCCCACCCGGGACTGTAACCCCATAACAACCGCCTACTGACGACCAACTCACCCCCAACATCAGTCCATCACATATCCCCCACCCCAAGATCAGTCCATCATTTGCTGTATATTTATGTCCATTTGGGGGCCCCCAGGTTTTCCCAAACATCATTTTAATAGATTCCCAAGCCAAACATCATTTTGATAGACCTCCCAAGGTCCATCACATACTATAGCCTGTTACTTAAGGTTCTCCTCACCTGGGACTATCCATCACATGCTGCATAGAGACTTGTCAATTGAGACCTCCCCCATCACCAATGCCAGTCCATCACATGCTGTATATTTAAGTGTCTATAATTTTCCCCCAACTCAAGGACCGAATTTCAAATGCTGTATATTTATGTCCATCCCCCAATGATAATCTATCACATTCTGTATATTTATGTGTCCATAACTTCCGCCACCCCCAGGTCCGAATATCAGATGCTGTATACATATAACCATTATTTTCCAAAACATCATAGACCACACAAGGACCATCACATTGTGTCCCACCCCCAATGTCACTCCATCACATGCTGTATATGTGTCCAATTTTCTCCATCCCAGGTCCGAATATCACGATGCTGTACATTTATGGCAATTGTTTTCCCAAATATAATGTGATAGACGGTCAGTCCATCACATGCTGTAAATTTATGTGTCCATAATTTTAAGGTTCTTCACCACCCGGGACTGTCCATCAGATGCTGTGTTTTCTGACCATTATTTTCTTAAACATCATTTGATGAAGCTCTCTGCCCCCTCCCCTGAACAACTAATGTTGTGATGAAATCTCCCCCACCCACCCTCAGGTTCATCCGTCCGTCTATCACATGCCTCCATCACTAATGTTTTGATGAAATCTCCCCCACCCACCCTCAGGTTCGTCCGTCCGTCTATCACATGCCTCCATCACATGCTGTATATGTGTATAGACGGCCAGTCCATCACATGCTGTAAATTTATGTGTCCATAATTTTAAGGTTCTCCCCCACCCGGGACTGTCTATCAGATGCTGTATTTTCTAACCATTATTTTCCCAAACATCATTTGATGAAGCTATGCTGTAAATTTATGTGTCCATAATTTTAAGGTTCTCCCCCACCCGGGACTGTCCATCAGATGCTGTATTTTCTAACCATTATTTTCCCAAATATCATTTGATGAAGCTATGCTGTAAATTTGTGTGTCCATAATTTTATGGTTCTCCCCTACCCGGGACTGTCCATCAGATGCTGTATTTTCTGACCATTATTTTCCAAAACATCATTTGATGAACTCCCGTCCCCCCGCCAACCCTTAAGTTCATCCGCCCATCACATGCTGCCCCCGCCAACCGTTAGAATTCATCCGTCCATCACATGCTGCATATTTATGTG